GCCGTTTATTATTGTCACTGCTCATGGGGGGTATATTGCCATAGTTGCCACGCTTGGCGAGCGGGTTGGCAACCGCAGTTTTTTTATTGTTATTTTGGCTATTATCAGGAAGATGCTGCTGCCCATCTCCTGCCTGTTTCCCTTTGTCGCCTTTTACGACACCCACGGGAAGATATGGGGTAGTGGATATTCTTAACCGCCACTACACGGCGGTTATACATCCATTGGATGATGTCAAACATTCACTAACTTAATAATCGACATACTAAATGTGATTTTCTCAAGAACCAAATACAAAGTGAATTGTTATGCATTGCAATAAAATATTATTATGTACTAGCATTTGGTCAAAATTCGAGTAATTGATTGGTTGAATTGTTTTATACGGAGAATCGGGTACCTAAGGTATGTTCACTTTATTTTATTTTTGTGCACATTTACTATGGCACAATACATTTTGAATGATGTAAGTTTCATTACCCTGCCACTGAAGTATTTCTATAATTTACAATAAAAGTACATACGGCAGTGTTTGATGTTTTCGCATTAAAATAACTATTGAAATGAGTCCTACAAATATATAATTATAACTAGTTTATATTTCAAGGAAAATTAAAAGTATTAAGTTGTAACATGGCCGACCCATTGCCTCTTCAGCTTATTGATCTGTTGCGCTATGTCGATTACTACAGTTTTACTACTGATATTCTAATTTAGAAGTCTATCCCGCAAAGAAAATCCTAGCACAGCGCTCTCCATAGCTATCTGAGTGACCTTGAACTTCCTCATACGACCAGCATTGAAGGATTACGTCTCAGATCCATATATTTTCAATGTCTATGTCTACGTCATATTTGTCTGTAATATCCATATGGCTTGAGAAACCGACAACGGATGAGAAAAAAAGGTTTTACAATGACACCTTCGTACCCGTAAGCAAAATGTAGGGAGGCCTAATACTATTTGGAGTGATCCCAGATAGATCTGATATGCAGGATCCAGGAAGTCGATGGATACAGATGGTTCAGGGCTGGTATTCCTTAAGGGAGGCCAATATTTAGCAGTAGACTTGTTGGTTCTAATAATCATTAAGTTGTAACAATGGCACTGAATATTCTGAAAAATCCTTTTAATATTATTTTTAAGGAGTATGTGGTTGAATTCTTTCCAATAATTCTAAGGAACTATAAAAACACGATCGTTTGAATAAAATGGTAGTTATAAGGATCTAAGATGGATTCGCGGTGCGGTAAATGTGTAACACAAGAGGTGTAAAATATAGCTTAGAAAGTTTTTACTTTAGACTAGAGGGAGATGTAATTTACAATTTGGATCGTCTTTGGTTTGTATTAAGTTTCTAACATATAAGAAGAACTAACATAGCTCCCAATGTGTGTTGAAGATATTAAATCTAAAGAAAGAGACAAAAATAAAACAATATTATAAAACAGTCAATTGTAAAAATTTTAAAAACTTGATAGCGAAAATCGGAATTGTAACCAGTTTATAAAGGAAATTGCAGATGACTGTAAATTTACTATTTGATATTTTCTTATTTCAAAATTGAGGCTTAAGTCGAAAGAATACGCTCCTAATTTTTATTAGTATTTTGTACTGCTTAGTCATGTTCTCTCTTTTTTTAAATTTTAATATGCTACTTTAAAATTTACTCCACTAGACAAGTAATCAATTTGTAATGTCGAAAAATGCTTAGAAAATACGCTAATCATTTGTTGGTTACAGCATCAATACATATTTCGTACTTAGGGTGAGATTTTTAAAGGACCTTTTATGCGTTGCATGGCATTTTCAAAGGCAGCTTTGAGTTAATTTAATTCTATTTCTTAAAGAACATACTTAAAATGTTAAGTAGAAGCGAAATTTCTTTACACATAATAGAACAGTAAAACATTGTTCTTGAAATGTCGGAATACGTAAAAAGTCTTCATTAATTTATTTCGTGTTCATCTTTATTTCAATATGCAAATATAAGTACAAAAAAGGTTTTCTATGAATAAGGTGAGCTTAACGCTTTCATGCTAGTTTAAACGTATGACGAAGATATCACCATGAAATCATGAGTGGGTAACAGTAACAACAAACAGTGGTGTATTGGTTTAAATGACCAAATGCTGGTTCAGACTTATTAAAAAGGGACGTTTATGTAGTGCGGTTATATACAGGACTGTTTATAGGGAGAAATGCGAGCGGTGAGGATTTAATATTTTCGCAATACTGCAAATGCCCTAAATTTGGTACAAGAAGGGCGTTAAGGAATGCATGCGCACTCACCTGGAGTTCTGCTGATCTGCCTGGTGTTTCAAGGGCTGCAGCCACGATGGTTAGGCGCCGGTTTTCTTCATACAAATAAACTTCACAGATAATCGCAAAATGTAGCGTTATTATAAATGTCTCTATACTTTACGATAATTTTGTATGGTTTGATATATAAATTACACAAAGGCGGCTGCTATGGCGCCAGATAAAAGCGGTTGCTTGTGCGTATCTTATGCGAACTCATACGAACCCTGTTAACACAAGAGTGCGCATGCTAAAGGCATAAAAAGGGCTTAGATATGAAACCCGGAATTGGAATACTGTTTGGGACCCTGAAGTTAATAAAATTAAAACTAAACCCAAGGATACCACTGCAAGACTTTAAGACACAGTAAGTTCATCCTGCGTAAATCGGACCAAAACTAATAATTAAAAAACCTTCAGCTTTTTTACTTCTGGTTAACTCTGACATCGGGACGTCAATCACCTCAGTCCCTGTGATCGTGGGTGCTATAAATCACCCGAAACGTCGAGATTTTATAAAAATAAGTTAACGCGATAGAATCTGTAAAATTAGTTTTATTCTATGTGTAGTGTTCGCGTAAATATAAGAAATCATTATAATTTAAAATTATTTTATATTATAATTTAAATTTTGTACAACCAACTTCAATATAAATTATGAAGAATAACTCAAAAATTATTAGTTAGTTCTTGGTGAAATGTATATGGGACCCACATAAGAAATACCAGCTTTCAAATAAAAAAGAATCATCGAAATCAGTTCACCCAGAAAAAAGTTATGATGTTTCTTTTTTTTATGTATGTTACCACACATAGAAAAAAGAAAACCGTACAGTCGAATTGAGTACCTCCTCCTTTTTAAATTCGGTAGAAAATACAAAGAAACTTTTTCCCCGACCTATTATTTCCAGTACTCTTATTGGCTAATAATTAACAAATCACATAAGCGTTAGGAAGTTGTGCAAAAGTGGCGTGAACATCTTCCCGGACTTGAGGTATACTCAAATAGTGAAAAAAATATTGGGAATGAGGGTAAAAAAAAAGGAAATACGAACAAATTAAGGTACAATGGTAATCTCCCACTTGTTTTAGCAGTATAAATTATCGCACAGGCGACTAAGAGGCATCAGTGTGTAATTCTAAGAGTCCCACTGTCGTTACTTGAGCCCGTTGGGGTATTCTACTAGTGGAGGCAAGGGAGGTCGTGTTGCTGAGAGGCTACCCTGTGTACACTGAGATGGGTAGTGATGCTGTTGGTTTGCATACTTTGGTGTTATCAAGTAATTGGGGCCCTGATAGTAAGCAGGGTTTGTTACCGAGTAGTCTTTTATTTAAATACTTTTTAGGATAATTTCTAACATCAGAATTGGAATATTATCTTACATCAGAATTGGAATAAAGTCCCCGTTATCGTCCACATATAATCTTTGAGTAGTTTGAGGGTTATTACGTTTGTGAAGGACTACGATGCGACTCGCGTATCATACTTATTATCGCCTTAGTTTTTATGTTAAATGTCGTAATGAAATTTGCTGTACTATTTACGACATTCACGTATCATTAAAGTGTAAAGTAAAAGTCTAAAGTTAAATTTTTTAAGCCAAAAGTTAAATATTTTTGTTCGATTTATATATCGACGCTGGAAAGGAAAAAATTACTAAGCGACACTGGTCGATATTGAGTTATATATATCATTGGAATCGGATTTTTTTCTGCGTCGAATGGTCCTGCTCTCATTCTCCTGCGATGTATTTTATGTCGTTTAGTAATTTTAAAATTCGTCGGTTTTTCGGAGTTTTCGGCGACCAACCGACAAAAATTTTGTTCATTTTAAAAAATATTACGTTTAGGACATTTTATACTCCACTGTATTCCTACTTAGTAAATATGTCCTGTTTTTGGTTTAAACTATTTTGGCTTTAAGTTACTTTTTCCCGAACTTATGAAAGAATAATTATTTATTTAGCTAATTCTTACCGCTTAAATTTTTTTTTTGTAACCTCTTACCTTTTTACCTGTCCTTAATATAAACGTTTTGTCATTTGGATATTTTTTACCAGTTCTTATTAACAAAAATATGTCGTTTAGTGATATTTTTCCTTTCTATAATTTTGTCGCTTAGATAAATGTGACCTGCCGTTGTGAAATATTTTTTGGCGTTAAGATATCTCTTCCAGAAAGCTTTTTTTTAATAAAACGTCGGTTGTGTTTTTCGCGTTGATCTTACACTGTCGTCTACTCAGGCTGTGATTTAATATTCGATTGGCGTGACGAACAAAAAATTGAATCATTGCGCGGCAAGCTGTCGCTTAGTGAACACGTGTGTCACCGCGCATCTCGATGATTCGCCGCTTAGACTAGATAACCGGGAATTATTTTTATTTAACGTGTTACATATTTTTCTTATGTTGTAATAATATTTGAGTTATTTTTATTTTACGAGTTTTAATCTATGTTTTAGAATAATGGATCGAAAAAACTGCGTTCATAGAAATTAATAAACCTAGCTTTAATGAATGCAGGTATCAGTCCAAATACTTCGCTAAATGATAATAAAACCTCTGTAAGTTATCTCCTAATATCTTAAAGATTAACTAATAATTAACTTTATTTTAACAATAACATAATTCTGATTTTCTATACAGGACTATTTGCCCATACAAGATGATTATGATGAGCATGTGACCGCAAATAAAGGTATGAACCGGAAAAAGCTCAAGAAGCAAGTATGCAGAAAGCTTTTGTTTGAAATGATTGAACCGTTGAATGATGCACCGGTATGTATATTCCTACCTATCAAATTTTATACCTAATTATCTATCCGATACTGTCTTATCCTAGCCAAGCATCCATGCGCGCAACAAGTACGAACATATGTACTTACATCAAACGTGTCGACATCTATGTGTGCTGACACATCGTAAGCGATTCGTATAGCAATAAATAAAGTTCGTACAGTGCGCGAGAATTTTGGCGTAAAAGCTGATCAGAAACATTTTTAATCTTACTTACATAGCAATTTTTTTTTATTAGTTTTATATTGAAAGTCGGAATGGGACAGGTAGGTAGCAACTACGATGTAAAACAGTATTATATAAATTTGCACTATTTTAGGATGAAATTCTGATAAGTGCATCGACAAGCCCAGTTGCAAGTACATCAAAGGCACTTACCGTTTTTGAAGAAATTGAAAAGGCTTACAGTAAAGGTCCAGTAAATATAGATTATGCACACGTGGGAATCCCAGGTACGTCAACTCTAAACTCCGTCCAAATCACCGATGATGGGTTGAATACACCAAATGAGCAGACTCGAAGAACCATTACACCAAGTACCATTTCGACTAATTTGACAGTTGATGAGGGCTTTCGTTATGGGGATTCAAAAGCAGTAAAACGACAAGGTCGTAAACGTAATTGTAAAACTAATAAACGTTATATTGACTACTTATCCGATGATGAAGATTTTTTTACATTTTTTAATTGCGACGAGGCTGATTTGGATTCGGATGAATAGTCGGGATCTGAGACGTCAGAAAACGATGATGTAGGTGATATTAGGACAAAGAAGAAGAAAAACCCAAAATCTAAGCAGAAGAAAAAGGTAGTTATTATTATACAAGAAGAACCAATTGTAGGTGAAGAAGGTTTTAGAAAGGAGAAAAAAAATTCAAAGAAAGAACGACGTTGAAAACGATTCAATGGCGAGGAATATGTACGAAAGGATGGTAAAACTGTAAATGCTAAATGTCTTCAACCCAATCCATGTAGTAGAAAAAAATGTGGCAACAATTGCGAAAATATTTCTGATGAGAGAAGACAGCAGGTGTTCGATCATTTTTGGAAAATGACAGTAGACCGCCGACGAGACTGGTTGGTTAGTTTAACACAAAAACTAGCTGTAAAACGTAAACGTACCAACTCAGACACCCGTGTTAATACTTTTAAATACCACATCAATGAAGGAGAAAGAAGGCGGGTAGTATGCTTGCAATTCTTGGCTGCTACATTAGACATTTCAGAAAAATCTATCTCCCATACGGTCAAGAACTCTGAATGGGGCTGTGCTAAGGAAGATTTACGCGGAAAATGTATACCAGATACCATTGAGAACGTTGTGAAATTTATTAAAATTTTACCGGCAGTACCGTCTCATTATTGTCGCCATGATTCCTCCCGAGTCTACCTTCCGCAAGAATTCAAAATATTCCAAATGTCTGCAGCATTTATAAAAAACATTTGGAGGGCGACGGTGTTAATTTTGTTAGTGAAAAAGTATTTCGTAGAGTTTTTACAGAGGAATTCAACATAGGTTTTCACGTGCCTAAAAAGACAAGTGTTTGATATGTTTAAAATTTGAGCGGTCAGATACTACAGATCCAGTTAATGCGGAAAAAATAGCTGCTCATGAAAATGAGAGAAATGAGAGCTACAATCGTTTTTATGCTCACAAAAACATCCATAGAATTGATCCTAATACTCTATGCGTAATTTTCGATCTAGAAAAGGTTCTAAATATTCCACACGGCGAGTCCATGCTGTTGTATTACTCACGTAAATTAGCGGTCTATAATTTGTGCTTCTATGAGAATGGTACACGCAGAGTATTTTGCTTTTATTGGAATGAAAGTAATGGCAAAAGGGGTGCTAACGAGATAGTCAGTATTTTAAATAGGTACATAAAGTTGGTAGGTGAAAGAGGTAATATAAAAAACTTGGTCCTTTATTGCGACTGCTGCCCAGGGCAAAATAGGGCTAAAAGGGCGAAACCGGGTTGTCTTGGCGATGATACATTCGACTTTGCAAGAATGCAAAAATCTTGAAACGGTACAAATAAACTATTTACTAACCGGTCACACTTACATGCCTGTCGACAGTGTACATGCTGTTATAGATACTAATTTATTTATTAATTTACACCATATTCAGCACGGCAAGGAAAGATCCATTTTCATACGAGGTAGAAAATCTTTATTTTGAAGATTTTTATAAATGGGACTCAATATCTGAAAAATATTTTAAGGGCAATTTGACAGAAAAAATTAGTAAAATTAGGATTGCAACGTTTAAAAAAAATAAGCCTGAATCTGTTTCAGTAAAGTACACTGTAGTGTTTGCTTATATGTAGTATACAGTAAATATTGTTATTTGTTTTATTTACTAATAATTTACCATGCACAAATACACAAACATACATTTATATATAAGTCACTGTCTCGAGCGCACCGCGTCAGTTACACGAGAGCCTCGGGCGAGAGTGGACGTCTTGTTTAGTTAAAGTGCGTGCCGAGCCTGTGTTACACTACAGTGGTTAGAGAAGATAGCAGACATTACAAGTGGCGACGAGGAAAAAGATAAGTACCTATTTAGTATAAAGATATAATCAAAAATAGGTTAGCAATGTGCAACTATTAGTATTGCAATTGTAAATTAATTCCTAGAGTACCCGCGGATAAAAAACTGTGGATTATGAATTATGATTTATTGTTTTTAACCCTGTTCTGATCATTTTAATAATTTATATAAAATATATGTTCGCATTTGACCACGCTTATGGTGTGCTAAAATTTATTTTCTTTATGTAGCAATGATAAAATAATGATTTATTTTAACATATGACTATTAGCACAACTTTTATATAAAAAGATTTTTAATGGAAAAATAGTAGATGTTACTAAAAACTCCTCTCGATTCGAACCGAAATACAATGTCGTTAGCTAAATTTTAGTGGCATTTAACATGTAGGTGTGATATTTATCGCCTTTAATGAAAATACTATTTTACTGCTTTCACGGCATATATGTCTTACAAAAAATCGTGGACACTTCACGACTTCTGTACATTGCAAAGTAGGTAACTAGTAATACTGTTTATTTATTTATTTATTTGATTTTTAAGGGAAACATACAGTGCAATAATATATTACATAATAAAACATATAAAAGTAATCCTAAAAACCAATGAAGTTTCCACAGATATCTAATACATAATAAAAGCAAACCACAATAATATGTTGTATAAAATTAAAAATATAAAAGAATAAAACAAGCTAAATGGTATTCATAAATTAAAACATTAAGTAGTAAGTAGTTAAAAGTAACATTATATATACAACTCAAAGTGATACTACCAATTATATATTAAGTTTTACAATATTTTCTTTGTAACTATCATATTCAAGGTGAAAAATATCTAATATTTAAAATATTTTAAGTTAAACTTTTTGCATGTACGAGATACAAAATTATTTGAGGCATTTTTTTGTTTTATCTTTAGGTAATGCAAAAAAGTGGTTTATTTCGTGTACCTAACCTGTGACACGCAAGATTCATCTTGCCTAAAAGTAGGGGAGAGTCGATGATATTATGAAGCAATTTGTACAACAACATTTGATCTCTTATATCACGGCGTTTCTCGAGGGTATTGCTGTCTAAGTTATCAATAATGGTAAATGCGCAATATAGGCATTGAATTTACCCAAAGCCTAAATGGCACAGCGATGGAAGTAGTCGGTATAACAAATAAACCGAAAGAGAAGGGCGAGTGTTATGGAACATATTATTATCATGAAACTGAGTTTGGGTACCAAGATACCAATCATTAAATTGAGTTGGGTACCAAGATACCATCATTAAATTGAGTTGGGTACTAAGATACCATCATTAAATTGAGTTGGGTACTAAGATACCATCATTAAATTGAGTTGGGTACTAAGATACCATCATTAAATTGAGTTGGGTACTAAGATACCATCATTAAATTGAGTTGGGTACTAAGATACCATCATTAAATTGAGTTGGGTACAAAGATACCATCATTAAATTGAGTTGGGTACTAAGATACCATCATTAAATTGAGTTGGGTAATAAGATACCATCATTAAATTGAGTTGGGTACTAAGATACCATCATTAAATTTAGTTGGGTACTAAGATACCACCATTAAATTGGAGCTTGGGTACTAAGGTAGGTACCACCATTAAATTGGAGTTTGGGTACTAAGGTAGGTACCACCATTAAATTGGAGTTTGGGTACTAAGGTAGGTACCACCATTAAATTGGACTTTGGGTACTAAGTTACTACCATTAAATTGGACTTTAGGTATTAAAATACCAGCATTAAATTGGAAACAAAATATAAGAAACTGTTTCAGTTTGCCCCTAAAATAATAATAATAATGATACCGTTATCAGCTTTAATGTGATAGCACATCTATGGCTATAAGGTGTGGAAAATGGAAAAGGTCTCTACTAATCTATCTGGACGTAGCTGAAGTTATATCAGCACTCTAGAAACGAGCTACGCTATTGCATTTTGGTGGCTCTGGGATAAAAGAAACCGTTGATGTATTTTAAGTAGCCAAAAAAAAAACTCTACGAGTATTTTCAACCTAAACGGAGCAAAGTTTATGAGCGGCATGTTTTTCGATTGCTAAAACAGAAAAAAGGAGACATTTGAGAAGATTTTGATAAGATTGCGTCAACAAGCCGAAAAGTGTGCATTCGAAAAGCAAGATGATCATTTCATAGATCTTACAAAACGTGGGAAGAGTTAAAAAGCAAAAAAGTATATGCTTTTAATCAAATGTAAAGACCAGACAAGACATTATTAGCATATGGTAGTAACTCTCCTTTGGCAATAGAGGGTTCATTTGAAACTATACTCGAAGTCGATGGACGAAAGGAACATACAACCATTTACGTGATTTCGGGGGGTACTAGAAACCTGTTTGGTAAGAACACAGCAGTCCGACTGGGTGTCTTAAAACTTGGTATCGGGATAAATCAAGTGGAGAGTAAAAGCAAGCCGATCCCCTTTAAAGAGAAAGTTGCAATCAAAATTAAGGAATCACTAAACAGTGATATAATTGAAGAAGTGCAAGGCCCGTCTAAACGGGTTTCAACAATGTTCCAATCATGAAAGAAAATGGTGAATTACGTTTGTGCGTAGATATGAGATGTACGAACGCCGTTATATTGCAAGAAAACCAGCCCCTGCCTACTATGGACCATTTTTGCCTAAAATGAAGAAAGCTAAATATTTTAACAAATTAAGACATAAAAAAATGCCTTCCATCAAGTGGAAATTCACTCTGAATCTAGACACATAACGACTTTTATAACCCCCAAAAGATTATATAGATATAAAATAATAATGCTTGGAATTACCTGCACTTCCGAGATTTTTCAGAAGATCATTGAAAGGATGCTGATAAACTGTGAAGGGGTCGTCAATTTTATTGATGATATCCTGGTATTCGGGAACAGTGAAGAAGAACATGACGCATGACTAAAGAAAGTTCTACAGGTACTTAGTAAAAACAACGCCGTGCTGAATAGCAATAAATGCATATATAAAACGCAGAATGTGAATTTTCTGGGACACAGGCTTACACATGAAGGAGTAAACCCTTCAACAAGTACGTTGAGAGCATTATGAAATTTAGGGTCCCAAAGACCATAGAAGAACTCTAAAGTTTTTTAGGACTCTTAAACTACATAAACAAATGGATACCTA